TTTCGACTGGGTGTGGTTGTTCACTCAGATCACCATCACAAATTCCGATGTCGGCATCGACATGACCAGTGGCGGGTTTTCCAACCTCGCCGTAGGCTCTTTGGTCTTGCTTGACAGCACGATATCCGCGACTCAGGGCATCCTCACCCCCTATGCCCCGGGTTTCAGCTCGCCCCAGGCCGCGGGGACATTGGTCATCGAGCGAGTCGACTTCACCGGCAGCGGGGTCGCCATCTCTGCCGCTGGTGGCACTCAAGCGAGGACGATCCTCGCCGGCCAACAGTTTGTCGAGCTCTGGGCGCAAGGAAACGCCTGGACAACGGCGGGCCGGGCGCTGAATGGCCAGTACTTCAACGGCACGACTTGCTCTTACCAGAATGCCAGCCAGACGGCCTACACTGCACAAGAAACGACCATTCAGCGGGCCCTCGCCCCGATCCCTCGCCCGTCCTCGCTGGTCGACAGCAATGGGCAATACGTGTACCGCGTCAAACCACAATACGAGAACCTTCAATGGGATACGGGGTTCCTCAGCGCCAAAGCAAACGGACTCGTGGGTGATGGGTCTACAGGTGTGTCTTTGTTGTCATTGCTGAAAGATGCCTCTCTATCTTTTGTCTAACATTTGCTTCTCATCAGATGACACGGTTGCGATGCAGGCACTCTTCAACCTCGCCCATATCACGGGCAAAATCGTCTACTTTGACAGGGGAGCTTACATCGTCACCTCGACCGTCAATGTTCCGGCGGACGTCAAGATCACTGGCGAATTGTTGAGCATCGTCATGGCGACGGGCCCGCTCTTCGGCGACGAATTCAACCCGAAGCCGATGTGGAAAATCGGCAATCCTGGAGAAGTCGGCACGGTCGAAATCTCCGACCTCATGTTCGAGGTCAAGGGCCCGTGTCCAGGCGCCATTATAATCGAGTGGAACATCAAGGCCGCTGGACCGGCGTTGGCGGGCATGTGGGATGCTCACTGGCGCATTGGTGGATCGGCAGGGACAGACTTACAACAGGACATCTGTCTCAAGACTCCGGCGACACCGATCGCGGGGACGAATCCGGTCTTGACCAAGTGCATCGGCGCATTTTTGTTGTTACACGTCACGAGCCAGGCGGACGGGTATTTTGAAAACACGTGGGGATGGGTAGCGGACCACGAGTTGGATATGGCGGACCGGCAGCAGATTTATATCTTCAACAAAGGGTGAGTTGACAGAAGGGCCGTTTTCGGACGAGTCACGAATGCAAAAGTAAGAAAAGAGTGTTTGACTGACCTGGATTGTTTCTCGGCAGTGGTTTCCTCATTGAATCCCAAGGCCCTGTATGGCTGTACGGCACGGCGGCCGAACACTCGGTCATGTACGACTACCAATTCGTCAATGCGAAGGACGTCTTCATGGGCCACATCCAGCACGAGACGGCGTACTTCCAGGGCAACCCAAACGCGCTGGTGCCCTTTACGCCGCAGCCGTCGTGGCACGACCCGGACTTTTCGGACTGCGTGCAGGCCAACTGCGCGCGCACCTGGGCGGTGCGGTTCGTTAACTCGAGTTCCATCTTCATGTACGGCGGCGGGCTGTACAACTTTTTCGAGAACTGGAACACGCAGGCCTGTCTGGGCACGGAGAGCTGCCAGGAGCGCATGGTCGACTTCCGCAACTCGACCGACATTTACCTCTGGGCCCTGAGCACAAAGGGGTCCCAGTTCATGATTAGTTACGAGGGCAGCGACCTCGTGCCGTACAGCGTCAACAAGGCAAACTTTTGTGAGACGATTGCGCTCTTTGAGCTCGCGAGTGAGCAGTGAGATGCAAATAACTCACCTGCGAGTTAAGAGATGCGGGGTTTTTGGTTGGCACTCGGGTATACTTTTGGTCCCTTTTTTTTTGTCATGGTGGCGGGTATAATCTGAGCTGATCTGATGTGATGTGAACTCGACGATGATGGGAGATTTTGGCAAAGGGAAAAGGAAAGGGGGCTGTAATCAACACCACTGCGTGATCAGTCTCATTGGGGAGGGGGGCCAGGAAATCTTGAAAAGGGATTTTTCCCAAGTAGTGGTGGGAATGTTCTGGGATAGATCGATGAAGAAGAAAGGTACCCAAGACTTTTCGGTCATGGCGGATATTCGTACTCGTTTGCTTAGCTCGAGACACCGTCGTCCCTGAGGAATGGCATGTCCGTCCACTCGACGATCTCAATAGATTGAACGAAACCCACGGACTTTGCACCTAGTCTCCCCTTCTGCTGTGCACGAGATATTGTTCTCGTTCCCTCCCTGCCACCACCCGCACAAGCATGGACGGAGACAAGAACGTCGCAGACGCAAGGTGTACGGGGAGATCAAGACCTGGGCTCTTTTCACTAGGCATCACGAATCCCGAAAGCCCACTGCATAAACGTGCCGGAAAAACCAATGTGACATGCTTCTGGTTGTCCGTCCAGCCATGTCGATTTGTGTTCTGCTCAGCGTGATCCGTTTCATCCTGGGAGCATTGTGTTTTACGAGGTACAGAGGGCTGAACAGCCCCCCCTCTTGGCGTGTGTCTGTAGGTGCATGTATGGTTCAGTCAGTCTCACCGCGTGGTCTGAGGGGTTGGACGAGCGGAGTTGGTGACAGTCCCGCAGCCTTATGAGGTGGTAGTCAACATTAGACTACGGGCGGCACAGCGAGGCACAAGGCACCACATGGAAGGTTCGAGTATGTCCTGACACAACACAGGACAATGCATTGGGTCAGATTTTGGAGCAACAATACCTACGGAGTACACCGTGTTGTGGCCGTTGGTAGCTAGGATGACTGACGTTGTGCCAACTTCCTCTTACAAGTTGAAAAAGCCACGGCAGCCGAGACCTCCGAGCATGTGGGAGGAGTTCGCTTAGGGTTCTTTATTTGACAGAAAATAGCCGGTCTTAGCCAGCCCAGCCAGCCCCATGGTCCCGAAAAATAAACAATGACAAACAGGGCGTATGTACGAGGTAGGTAGGAGGAGAGATTTGGAGGGATTTGAAGGACGCGGGAGGGGTCGGTCGGATGGGGCTCAGGGAAGCAAATCCTGCCTGTCGATGTTTGTGTCTGGAAATGTTGACCCGTCCACAGACCCCATGGCCGGCCTGGCCAACTCTGCCCGGTTTTGGTTTCTCGATGGGCCACCAGCCTCGATGCGATTCGGGGAGAGGGAGAGGGAACAATGGAACAAAAGTCAGACATGGTGATGATCCACGGTGCCTGGCGTGCAGACATGCAGGAAGATGCCGGAATGTCTTATTGGTGACGTTACCCCGGAAGGACAGGCCGAGAACATGGGGTCCTTTGCCCTAACTGTACTCGAGTATTGTAAGAGTAAGATATTTTCAAATGACCATTGGGGGGTTTTGTAACCAACCCCGAGAAAATACTTGGAGAGGGACGTGCATCAAAAATAAGGTGGCAATGGTGACTGCGGTGACAGTGGTGTGGTGATTGTGGTTTTAAGCTGTAGGCTAAGCCTCTGAATCCTGCTGAGGCGGGTATTGCTTGGCGAAAAAGGATTAAAGAATGGGCTGGCATTATTGGCCTTTCGCTTGGGGAACCTGGACAACCAAGTGCGTGAGACTGACCAAGATTACTGCTATGTATGTACCGAGTACTCATTACCGAGTTACATACATGATGCAATTTTTGGGAGGTGGTTGGTGTCTTGGTACCTGGTACCTGGCAACATCCTTCCGTACCTCTTGCCTCGTAGAGCTCCGGTGCAGGTACTCGATCGTAAGATTGTCTTTTGGAGTGGTGTGGTGTTGTAATTCCATACGTCGCGGACAATGTCCATATTGAAACCCTCAGCACGGCTTCTTCCTTGTCCAGCTGTGTACGAGGTAGGTACTTGCGAATGATGACCCAATGACGTAAATTTCGGCGGTCCGTCAGCCAAAAAGGGTATAGCGGTGACAGACAATATCATGCTCAGAAGTCGAACCAAGTGAGCATTGAGCACAATACCTCGTAGACCAAGTCTCGCCAATGCACACCCAGCCCGTGGTACGGCATGAACGACAGCCGTTGTTGGGCGTTGAGACGTTGAGACGTTGAAACCCCGAGGAGGCTGGACACGAGACGGCTGTCAAGTGGACAACCCGTATAGCGCTCAACGTGGCCTAGCGGCTGCAACCCCTGCGAAACATGGCGAGTGAAAAGGGGGAAAATCTACACGGGAAAGACAACGGGCAGGAGACGGGGCTGGTCGCTAACGTACAGACCCTATTGGTCCACGACCCTGCGGGGAGAAGCTAGCGTCAGGCTAAGCCTCGGGCCAATACTGCACTAATAGTCACGCTAATCTTCCCCTTTTGGTATAGCGTCAGCTATTTTCACCACTTCCAAGAAACCGAAAGTTTGACTTTAACTGCCAGAAAACTTTGCACTGCACGTACTGCACGGCCTCTGCCTCACTGCCGTCCCATATTTGTCGACACAATGCATGAGGCCCATCGAGTGCTGAATGGCTGACTAGATGCAGACAGTCCATGCGGATTCGTCCAGCATTTACGACGTGCAGAGGTCCAGGGCTGTCTATAGGCCCACCTTACTACCCACCCCAGCTTGGTGCTGTCCTGTCCTCGCCTCGCCTCCTCTCTTAGACTGGCCAAGTGTGTTGCTCCGCCCGCCCACTCACAGTCCCCGCTCCTCTCTATTTCCGCTTTCAGTACCATCGTCAGCTGCGAGACGATGGAAACCAGGAAACCAACCCAGCGACAGGACGAATTGCAGCCCAGCCATCATCATGCTATTTTGCCCATTGTGCCCTCGCCAGTCAAGGATATAAAGACATGACGGTAGGTTGTTCAATCGCCTTTTCTCTTCCTCCATCATCAGCCCAACAAGCACAGTCCAAAGCAAACGATCTACTCCAAAAGATCTTCCTTCGCTTTCCCTCACAGCCTTTCGCTTTCGAAACAATCTCCATCTCCCTCGTTTTTAAAACAACCCACATCAATCACCCAACTCAATCAAAATGAAGTTCTTCTCTGCTGCCCTCTTCGTCGCCAGCGCCGCTGCTGCTGCCGTTAAGAGAGATGGTGCCTGGAACGACTGGTCCAGCACCTGTGTGCCCACCACCGAATACGTGACTACCACTGAATACTCGACGGCCTACTCGACTGCCTACTCGACTGTCTATACCACCGCTTACTCCACCGTCTACTCCACTGCTTACTCCACTGCCTACTCCACGGTGTACAAGGTGAGATTTACCCCTCCAAAGGAACTTCTTGGGAGCAGCTATGCTGACCATTTTGTAAACAGCCAACCACCACCACCGCCTACAGCACCGTCTATTCCACTGCTACCGTGACTGAGACCAAGCCTGTCTACAGCACCATCACTGGTGAGTCTACATTTCGAGCACCCTTGGAACTTTGAACTCAAACTAACTCTGATTTCCAGTTCCCACTACGACCACTGCATACAGCACCGTCTACAAGACCGAGACTGAAACCGCTACGGTCACCTACACTGCCGTGCCGGAATCTGTCTACATCACTGAGACCGTCACTGCTCCTTGCTCCCAGACCTGGGGTGACTGGAACCGAAAGTGATTTTCTCCTTACTCCCCCAGTCCGAAGCTTTCTGAGGTGAGGGAGCGGGGATGAAAGCTGAGAAGCCATGGAACGGAGTGACGTGTGGAGAGGCATTGTGCACAAAAAGGGATTGATGAATGGGTTATGATTTTCCTGACCACTACCACGACTTATTTTGAAAACTGATCAACGATCGACGATCACCGACGACGACATGACATTTGTCAACAAAGCTCACAGCAACGGCGAAGGGGGAAAACCGGGAAAAAACGAAAGCATTGGGAAAACGGAATTTAATATGGGCATATGACCGGCACTGGCGGCAGGCAGCTTCTGGGCTCACTGACGACCAAGGCTCCTCTTTCCATTCTCAAACATACAAAGTGGTAATTCATAGTGGCAATACTGGGTACTTTTTACATATATATTTCGCATTGAAGTCCTGCAGTGACGTCTCTGCGACAATGACCATATCTTGGAGCTATCTTTCCCTGTTTCTTTGGAGTTTTTTTCCCTAAGCATTTGGTTTTTCTAGTTACAGGAGAGTAGAGATAGTGGACGTTGAAAGAGGCCATGGAACGCGGGCAAACTCCTAGCTTCAACACAGACTCTTGGACTTGGTACCTGGCAGTGGTGGTGGTGGCAAGCACGGCAAGCATGCAAGGTGCAAGTTGGGATGGCACCGGATGTAATACAATTCCTGGACCGATCAAAAGTCCACACACACACTCACACCTCTCTTGAGTCTATTCAGCTCGCTTTCTCTGTCCGTCTCTTCCCCTCTCTCTTTCTCCACTTGGTACGAGGTACTCTGCTCGGATACGCTGGCCCATTGCCTACTTAATCACTCACTCATCCATCCAAACATCCATCCCGTCAAAGTGAGGTCAGGATGTAATGATGATGGTGATCGTGGACTGCAGGTGCTGACTGGCAGATACCCACCGTGGATTAAATTTCCTGACTCCCGGTTACTCATCTCCGTACAGAGAAAAGAGAGGGCGAACGAGACAGAGGACAAAGTATGGTTGTAAGACAGGATTCAATCCCTTCTACTACTGGCACACGGGCAATCACATACTATTCCATTAGGTATTGCGCACACACTGTTCGGTCACTCATGGCGTCCCCCTCCAGTGACTCTCGAGCCAACAGCCCGTGTAAAGCAATCAATATATACGGCTCCATTCTCCGGGTTGTAACGGCAAATGCGGCACTCTCTCGCCCATTGAGAGAACCTGCCTCGAACCACCTTTCCATGGCTCCTGCTCCCCTCAGCCTCAGATCCGCCGACGTCGACAGGCCCTGGGCGGGGTTAGTGTTGCCCTCGCATTAAAAGGACATTAAAGAGCGGGGGACCCACAAGCGGTTCGCCTATTCGCGCCATCCACAGCTGAAGCTAGAAAGACCCACTCATGTTCCTCCTCCTCCTATAGGATAAGAGCTTGCCAGTATACGATGCTAACCCATGTAAGTACCTTGGTACCTTACTCATGTAGTACGTACGAGGTATGTATACCCATGTCCCACGTTCCCAGGTTTTTCTTGCTTTTCTTCCCACCACACACCCCGCAAACCAAGGTTCTTGGGTGGACCTGAAAGAATTTCGTTCCCTTGCGAGCTTCAACCACAATACCTACCCTACACAATCCACAAGTCGCCACCCCTTCAAGATCATCTCTTTCCCCCTTTCTCTCATCCGGGGGATTTTCAGCCCGCACTCCCTATAGCCTGCACCACAGCTGTTTTGCACAAATCTAATTCATCTGACTTAGTGATACTTGTGAAATCGTCATTCGTAATTTGTAGGTAAGCTAGGTAGGTAGGTATCTTTCGTACGGTTTTTGTTTAATTCCTACGGAACTCTTTACGCAAATATACCACATTTACTTGTACTTGTTATCGTACTTTGTAGGTCAGCCCGGTGATATTTCCGGAATTTATTTTTTGTTTTTTGTTTTTTTTAGAAAAAAAAGAAATAATTTGTGGTCACACCACACCCTTCCACACCACATTTCTCCGGGTCCTTGACAACTGGACTTCCCAGTTCCCGGGTGGAGAGAGAGAGACCCTGCCACTCTACTTGAAGCTGTACTCATCTCCATGTTCATAGTTTATGAAAGACATGGATCGTCATCCCCTCCAGGCCAGCAGGCCTTGAAATGGAAAAAATAATAAATGTCTTTCCTTGTTTCTGAGATTTGAGGTTGGGGAATATTGCTAGAGGTTAGAGGCTGGAGGCTCTTTCTTTGCCTCTTGCATGCATCTTCGCCACTTTTCCTAGCAATGTCTCAGTTCCAGGGTGCAGTGCAGGGCGCGCACCGTAGCATGCATGCATGCAGCATGCAAGTTCGGAGGATGGAGTGTGGATGCCTACCTCTCTCTCGCTTTGTGCCTTTTGTCAAGTTGTCAGAGCTCGTATGCCACTAACTGACCTTCCAGTACATCTATCCAGTGCCCACCTAGCTACAGTACGCTGGGTGCCGTGGCACCGTGGGTACCTACATCTAAGTACCTGCTCTACTCGGTGCTTACACATGTGTGCATGGGTGCATGGGTAGTGGTGGTAGTAGACACAAAGCTTTGCATCCGCTCGACCTTGGTCCAGTTACCTTGTCGTAGTACCTAGTCATTGTTTGCATTGCTCACTGCTAGTACTAGTAAAGTTTCCCGTCCCAAAACTCCATCATGTCAAGTACGGCTCGTATCCAGTAGACACCTTGAGTCCGTTCGCTTAATTCTGTCCCTTATCCCGGTCGCCTTACCACACACTTGCCAGGGTTTTCTTCCATACTACCACACACCATGACTGGGTACCGTCGCCTCCACAAGTCCTCACTCGGGCCCATGCAAAGGCAACGAGTGCCTGTCTAGAGGTAGCACCTCGTTCAACCCTTGGTGCCCAATCACCCTTACGGCTGCCATGACGTGCCTCGCTGCTCAATGGCCAGGATCGTCTCGATGTGGCGCAACTCCACCTTTGGTCCACGTTGCGCACCCTTGGTGGGTTCCTGGTTGCTGCTGCTGCTGGTGGTGCCCTCGCTTCGTGCCAACATTTGCGACTGCAGGTAGGCTAGGTATTAGCATCATTCGGATTCACGGAAGGGAGAAAAACCATGAGAATGGAAAGGGCAGATATTTCTGATCGGACAACGAGAAATGACTCCCGGCCTTCAAAAATGAAAACTTATCCTCCATCTGCGTCCATTTTTTGGGCGGTGGGTCTTCCCATTCTTCCTGTGTTTGCGAAGAGAAAAAGCGGAAGAACCTACCGTCTTCAAAATGTTCTTGATTTGTCGCCCGTTCAGCTCCACCCGGGCGAGGCGCTCCAGGTCTTTTCCGCTCACCGGGTGATCCGCCCCCAAAAAGGTCTGCCAGATGTGACGGCGAGACTCGACTGACAGGCTCGGGTAGTTGACCGTCACATGAATGCGGCTGTGGAATGCTTCGTCAATGTTCGTGATCCGGTTGGTCGTCAAGAACAACACGCCCTCATAGTATTCCTGCCAATTCCGTCAGCGTTGTCCATCTGATCAGCCTGCATGTCTCAGAAATAACGGTGAAATGCAAGAAAATGCATGTCCGGTGCTTTGTGGTGGGTTGTGCAAAACAAGTGCGGCGGACCCCAAATCCCGCAGCCCGAGTTGGACAACCAAGGCGCACGCGTCTTGGTAAAGAAAACCGAAGATCTGCTCGTCTAGGACTTTCAAGTTTTCCTGGCCAGGCAAATGCGCTGACACCGGTTTCTCAAGAAACACAATGGCGCCCGAGCGAGGGGATGATGGGGTCGGCTGGGTGCCAGGGGAGCAGCGTTGGGGGCGGAGTTGCCTACTTACCAGCACACGGAGGAAGATTGACACCATCTTGTTCCTCTCGAGGTCATTGGAGCTTCTTGCCTCGAGAAAGACGTCGGCTTCGTCTAGCAGCAACACTGCATTCCACTTGCTGACCATGTCAAGCACCAGGTTGAGCGACTCTTCAATCCCAGAGGGATCCAGCCCCAGATCTCCGGCGGACATCATGTAGCTAAGTCTCGTGTTAGCTCTGGGCTCCCTGCGAATGACCTTGTTTTCTCTCCTGTGATGCCGCAAAGGCGTTAAACTTACAGAGGCACCCGCATGTCTTCGGCAACGCTCTCGCTCGTCAAAGTCTTTCCCACCCCAGGAGGGCCAGCAAGAAGCATGATCATGCCACGGCCTTTTCCTGTAATGACATCGTCAAAGTCGTCCTTGTACTTGACTTGAGACTCGACGAATGCGCGGATCAACGACTTTTGTTCCTTGGGCAGCACTAGCGATGCGAAAGCGTTGTCGGCAAACTTGATTTCCTCGACCTGATCGACATAGAACCAGAGCTACATTGTTTCACAACCTCCATTAGCATTGAAGGAAGGACCTGTGTATCAGGAACGGGGGATGAAAGAGGAGATGGACGGCTGGACGAAGACTATCAGAGCCATCGGTTCAACTCGCGTGTTGACTTACCCATTTCTTGGTTTTCAGCGCATAACCTCGCACGTATGGCACGGCGAGGAGCAGTTCTTCCATGGTGAGCGGACGATGCTTGGGGCTGCACGCATCGTCACCCGAGTCCGGCGTAGCAAGGTAGTCTGACTCGTTGTCCAAGAAGCCGTCGAAATCGAATTGTTCTGATTGTTCCTCAGACTCGTCTGACAATAGGCCGTTAATTTGGTTGGTGGACTTGAACAGCGAGTTGAAGTACACGGCGTTGTTGGGCAGAAACCGGTTGTGCGCATCGCAGTCGATGATGATTCGGGATTCGACATTGTGTCGGATCATCCCACAACGGCCATATCCAAGAGCAACTCCTCGATATGCTTTGTAATGGTATCCCGCGAGGCGCTCAAAGAGCTTTCCTCGCGCCACAAGTCGGAGCATCAGCTGCTCTTTTTCGGGATGGAATTTCAGCGGGTATGCTTGAAGGGAGGTGATGGGTGTGGTGCCGGGGAACTCGTAATTTGACAGGTAGGTGACGTGCTGTCCGAACTTGTCGCCGTC